GAAAGGGAGCAGGAGACAGAGACAGATCCACAGACAGAAATACATAGTAATGGGAGGAGGGGAACCCTGATCTGGGTGAGGGGTGAGCTGATGGGGTGTGGATTGTTAAATTTGATATATTGGCTTGTGGCTCTATATGCTTAATTTAATAACTAAATTGTTTAAACAGAGTTGAATGAGAATTACAAATCTCCCGTTCATAAGGCTTGCAAGTTGTATAATTATTTGCTTCCATTTGCAACCTTAATCACACAGAGGGAGAGACTGGTATGTTCCTGATGGGTTCCTTGTCATTTTCTGGGAAGGATGGCAAGAAGGAGGTGACCTTGGACAAGAAATGACTGAACCTGCCCCCACATGATGCTTTATCAAGGAATATTAGACGCATCGATCTTTTTTCTGATTCATGTATTTGCTTTTTCTATCTCTGATATTTAATTCATGTAAATGGTCATTAACTTCTGAAATCACCATTGGTGACATCTCACACTCACCTCTTATAATTTTTTTCTTAATATAAGTATTCTCCACCTTTTTCAAGCTTTAAACCTAGAAATAATTACAGTAAACCCTAACTGTTTTGGCTCAGTTGATAGATTGTCGCCCTGCGGACTTGGGGGTCCCAGTTTCGATTCTGGTCAAGGGCATGTACCTTGGTTGCAGGCACATACCCATTGGGGAGTGTGCAGGAGGCAGCTGATTGATGTTTCTCTCTCATCGATGTTTCTTACTATCTCTCTCCCTTCCTCTCTGTAAAGAATCAATAACATATATTTTTTTAAAAAAAAGAAATAATTACATTAAAAAGAAACAACCCTATTTGTTTTTGGTTTTCAATATATTGTGTGTAGTTAAGATTCTGAGCTCTGCATCCTTTCTACTGTCTATCATACTTTGAGGCATCCATTGGCACTTAGTAACATGAGGCGATTTCAGTGTGCACTTGGTAAGGATGTCAGTGATGTTTGTATTTTTATTGATTTCAGAGAGAAGAAGGGATAGGGAGAGAGAGATTGAAACCTCAATGATAAGAGAGAATCACTGATTACCTGCCTCCTGCACGCCCCCTACTAGGAATGGATCTGGAAACCCTTGCATGTGCCCTTGACCAGAATTGAACCTGAGACCCTTCACTCTGAAGGCGGACAATCTCGCCTTTGAGTGAAACCTGATAGAGCATAATATCAATGATCTCAACAGTCAGAAGCTAGTTCTGTGAACTGGTTCAATGTTCAGCACCTCTTTCCTTCCCTTCATGTGATTTGTTGAATTAGTGTCTGTGAGCCACAAAGGAGCTGTTCCCCTAAGTCCCTCTTGTCCATTCTCTGAAACTATTGAAGGATGGACTGGATTGAACTGGAACTTGGTTCCCACAGAGCCCATCCATTCATGGTGAAGTCATTTGCTGAGCATATTTCAATAGATAACTTTCCCCAAAGGCTTTAGCATGAAGATCTATTCTCCGTAATTTCCTGGGAAAAGAGGAAGAAAATCTGCCTGGGGAACCTGCAGGTGTACAACTTGCCGCTTCAACCCCTCCCGCACCCCAGAGGTCTCAGGGGTGCTGGGTGTGATGTCTGGTACCCAGCGCTACTGAAAACAGCTCTGGGGGAGCCTTGCAGTCCCCAGGAGAGAACTAGTTAAAGATGCCATGTCATGGGCCCCAGTGCAGGCTCTTACAGGGGAGGTAAGGGGTATTGTGTTGCGTTTGGGCGTGGAGCCGAGCAGTACATGCTCTCATTGCTGTAGGAGTTTGTGGAAGTCTTTGGAAGGACAGATACATGAAGATGGAAAAAAAACACCTCACAGTGTGGTCTCCATGTAGGAGCTCATTGTTCCTCACTCTCTCCTGTGACAAAGGACAGGAGGGCATGGCCTTTTCCTCATTTTCAGGTCCTCCTGACTGTGAGTGTGAGCTGAGCTGATTAAGAGGCTGTGCGATCTCCTTTGAAGGCACATTCTGTGACTCCTCAACATATTGTCACCTGAGGAAACATCCCAGACCGCTATCACAACCCGGAAACAAATGGCTGCTTCTCAGGTAAAAGATGCATCCTATGTCAGAGGCTGTGTTTGCTTTTTCTTGAACATCTGTTGATACATTTCTCTTTCTCTTCCCACACCTGTGTCTCCTCTGTTGCCCCTGTTATAGTCTGTTCTGTTACCCACAACTGGCTGACTCTCAGTGCTGCTTCTCCCTCTGCTCTGTCATCCCTAAACCCCCCCTTTATATCTCTGCACTCGCTCCCCCCAATTCTTCTCTTCTGAACCTGTCTCTATCTGAAGTACCTCCCCCTTTGTTACCCCCATTTCTGTTCACCAGAACCCCTCTTCCTCTCAGCTCCCCTTTATCTCTCTAGGGCTCCTTCCTCTCCATATTTCTCTACTTCTGATGTTCTTGTTTTTCCAGGTCACTTTCTTTTCCTTATTTCTTTCCTTTTTTCTTATGATAATCAGTGTCAGCAGTTTCTATATTTCCCTCTTTCTTTTTAAAAATATGTTTTATTGATTTCAGAATGGAAAGGAGAGGGAGAGACAGATACAAACATCAGTGATCAGAGAGAATCATTGATCAGCTGCCTCCTGCACACCACCCACTGGGGATCCAGTATGAAACCTGGAGTGTGACATTATGAACTGTTCTTGTGACCTCTTGGTAAATATCTCTTTTCTATCAGGGACCGCTGACCTTCAGGGATGTGGCCATAGATTTCTCTCAGGAGGAGTGGGAATGCCTGGACCCAGCTCAGCAGAAATTGTACCTGGATGTGATGTTGGAGAACTACAGCAACCTGGTCTCCGTGGGTGAGGATGACTTCCTTCCTGAGTTCCTACTCCATCCACAGGGTTTTGTTTCCTTTATTACTTTAACATCTCTGATGGGGCTTCTGCTTTCTATGGTAGATTCTTGCTTTCAAGGGATAAATTAGGCACTAGCTGATTTGGCTCATATGATAGATTACTAGCCTGCAGACTGAAAGGTCCCAGTTTAATTCTGGTCAAGGCCAATGCCTTGGGTTGTTGGCTCACTCCATTTTTATTTTTTAAGATTTAGTTGATTTCTGGGAGGAAGGGATAGTGAGAGAGACATAAAAACTTCAGCTGGGCATTGACTGATTTTTGTGTGTGTGCCCTGACCATATGGGTGGGTATAACTTCTTGAATTCGTGTTCTCTGTATAAATCGTCAGATATGGAATCATTGTGTTACCTGGTATTTGTTTGTAAATATTGGAAAACCCTCCATTGTGTTTTGTTAGTGGCTGCACCAGTGTTTTTATAATCTTGCTGACAGTGTATGAATGTTCTCATTTTTCCACTTCATTGGTAATACTTGTTGTTTTTTGATTTATGGATGATTGGCATCCTGTTAGGTATTTGGTGGTATTTCATGGTGGTGTCCATTTGCATTTCTCTGATGATGAATGAGCTGAACATACTTTAATAAGTCTATTGCGCATTTTTATGTCCTGTTTGGGAAATGTATATTGAGGTCCCCTGCCCATTTTTTTTAATACGTTTTATTGAGTTTTTCCAGAGATGAAGGGAGGGGGATAGTTAGAAACATTTATGGGAGGGAAACATCAATCAGCTGTCTCCTGCACACCTCCTACTGGGGATGTGCCCACAACCAAAGTGTATGCCCTTGACTGGAATCGAACCTGGGACCTTTCGGTCTGCAGGCCAGCACTCCATCCTCTGAGCCAAACCACTTAGGGCCCCCTGCCCATTTTTCAATCATACTGTCTTGTTGATGTTAAGTTGGTGTAAGTGCCTTATATATATGGGATCTTTAGTTTTTGAGGATGTAACATTGCTGGGCTTTTGTTGTTGTTGTTATTACTTGGTGTTTTCTTTGGTATGCCAAGCTTATTTTTCTGTAGTCTCATTTTTTAGCTTCTTTGTTATGCCTAGGAAGATACATCTAAACCAGTATTTTTAAGAGTGATGTCTGGCAAGGTTCATTGACTCTGCTTTCTTCCTGTGTTTTCATGGTGTTAGATCTTCTATTTTATTTTATCTTATCTTATATTATTTTATTTTATTTTCAGATCTTCTATTTTAGTTGTTAATTCATGCTGAGTTCATTTTGGTTCATGGCCTATGATCAGGGTCTAGTTTTAGTATTTTTCCATATATCTGTCCCAGTTTTCTCTCACTACTTGTTGAAGAATCTGTCTTTACCTATTGTGTATTCTTGCCTTATGTCTTATAGATTAGTTAACCATATAGCTTTGGACATTTTGAAAATTGTGTTACTTCTTTTTTCATGTTGACTTGCAGAAGGTCTCTATATATTATAGATATTAAGTACTTATTAGATAATATGCTTTGCAGACAGTTTTTCTCATTTCACAGCTTGTATTTTGAATGCACTGAAAATTTGCTTTATTGTGAAGTTATTTTTATATGGGATGTAATGCCTTTTTACTGTTTTCTTTTGTTTACCTTTCCATTTAGTGCTATAATAAAAAATTAAATATCGTAAAAACTTTTCTATATGACCTAGCCTTATTGGCTCAGTGGATAGAGCAGTGATTCCCAAAGTGGGCGCTACTGCCCCCTGGTGGGCGCTGCAGCGATCCAGGGGGGCGGTGATGGCCACAGGTGCATTTGTTTTAACTTCTTTGTATTACCTTTCTATTCTGAAGTTCAATAAATAGTTTCATAATTTCAAACTTCAATGTTTCTAATTTACACCTTTCTTTACTATATTTTACGAAAAAGGTAGAAACATTAATACATATAACTTTCTGTTTAATTGCTATTAAAATTTAAAAAAAAATTAATTTCCAGGGGGCGCTGAGTAATATTTTTTCTGGAAAGGGGGCGGTAGGCCAAATAAGTTTGGGAACCACTGGGATAGAGTGTCAACCTGTGGACTGAAGAGTCCTGGGTTCAATTCCAATCAAGGTTGCATGAGCAGGTTGCAGGCTCCTTCCCAGTAGGGGCCATGCAGGAGACAGCCAATCAATGAATCTCTTAATGTTTCTCTCTCTCTCTCCTCCCTTCCTCTCTGAAATCAATAAAAATATATAAAATACATAAGTAACGTAGCGCAGCCAAAAAACAAACAAACAAATAAACAAACAAACAAAAGTAGAGAGAGAGGAGAATCTTCTCTGTGACCATGAAGTACAGGGATAAGAAGATACTCCCTAAAAACAACTTGAGTGAGGCAAAGTGGCTAACAACTGGAAACAGCAAATTGATTGAACTTGACTTGACCAAGAAAAATCCGTATTACCCAGAGAGCCTAGATTCAGCACTAGATACAGGAGTGAATTTCCTACTTCTATGGAAGGGCAGGTCTCAGTTTCATATACACTATTGGAAAACAATATTTATATTATATTTTAAAACAAAAACAAAAACTTTTCTATAACTCCTCTTTTAATAGATTGAGCTTTATTAGCTTTATGTTTCAATTATTCATTTAGGTTTAATATTTGTGTATGGTGTTTAATAACAGTCCAACTTCACTCATTCCTTTACATGTAGACATCTATGTATCTCAATACTGTTTGTATATGTGAGAATATCCTTTACTTCTTTGGTGGTATTGTTATATTGTAAATCAGCGATCTAGACAGAAGACGCCTTAATCAATTAGTGAGCCAAATTTTGGAGCCTTCATTACACTAGCGGTCTCAGAGGAGTAACCTCCCGAATATGAGCAAAAACGTGGAGGAAACTTTCCCTTTTTATATCTTTCCAGCCCTTTGTCTCCCAAATAAGGGTTTTTCCTGACCTTCTGTAGGCTTTACAAAGAGCTCTATGTAAGTTATTTTTTCAAGCAGCTTGTAACCTTGAGCACAGTACATTTCAGATAACTAACACACACATGGCAGAAGCGGCAACAGAGCAGCTTGCAAGGTCAGATAGTTGAACTTATTTTCCCTATTACTCAAGCAAGCAAGCGTTTACAGAAGCCAAAATAGTGCGGTTAAAATTTCAAATAGCAGTTTTTACAGAATAGAGATATGGTAGCAAGATGGAGTGCCTATGTGTCATTACCCACTGGTTTTATGTTCATGAGTCACATCATTGACTCTTGTGGGTGATTGTTGGGGAGGGCGTTAAATCGACCCCTGAGGACCATGAGCTTGATAAAATTAATTCTTTGTTGAATGAAGTTAGTAAACCAGTTTATAAGATAGGGGCCCAGAATGAGGGCAAGGAGTAATAACATTAAAAGTTCTATAGCGGCGGAAAGGAGTTTATTTGGCCAAGGGGACCAATTGATATGTCTGTGGTTAGGAGTATACCTCCCCAGTCGGGTTCAGGAAGGATTTCCCCAGTGATACTATTCCTGAGTTCCCAAATCCACCTTTGAGATGGCTTATGGGGATTGTTAACCCATTTAGCTAGAAAATTATTTTTTCCTTTTGCTAGTCCTATAAAGAGAATTAAAAGCACAACACACCTGAAAGTTTTATCTTTAGAGTGTCCAGAGAGTCCTGGACTCTATTTTGCCTGTGCTGCTTTAAGCCAGGTGTGATGAAGCCACGTTGGGATCCCGTCGACCTTGACTGCCCTGAGGGTGGTCAGGATGACGGTGGTATGGTCCTTTCCAGGTAGGAGTCAGTTCTTGGGTGGTAAAATTCTTTACCTAAACTGAGTCACCAGGTTGGAAGGGATGGACCGGATCAGAAGTTTGTACAGGCAGAGCGTCTCGGACATGCTTCTGAACTGCTTTCTGGGTGGACTGTAAAGCCTGTAAGGACTTGAGTAAAGATTGGTTATGGATTTCAGCTTTTATTTCTTTCCGAAGTCTTAGGAGTATTGGAGGGGGTCTCCCAAACATAATTTCATATGGGGAGAATCCCACTTGGTATGGGGTGCACCTTGCCCTGAGTAGGGCAAAGAGAAGGTGGCTCAATTTTCACCGGTTTCTGAGGTAAATTTGGTGAGGACCTCTTTTAAGGTCCTATTCATGTGCACTACCTGCCAAGAGCTTTGGGGCCAGTAGGCCCAATGTAGTTTCCAATTAATATTTAATGTCTTTGCTATGTATTGTGAAATTTTGGCTATAAAAGCGGGTCCATGGTCCGATCCTAAAGTTACAGGTAAGCCAAGCCAAACCTGGGGACTATTTCCAAGAGTAACTTTTGAGGTATAATGGTGGTAGTTTCTGTCCTAGTCGGGTAAGCTTCAACCTATCCTGAGAAGGTGTTTATGAAAACTAGGAGATATTTATACCCTGCCGGCGTGGGCCTGACTTCTGTGCAGTCTATTTCCCAGTGTTCCCCCGGGGGCTTTCCCCGAGCTCGATTCCCGTTGGGGGTTTCTTACCCTGTTTGGCATTCACTTGAGCGCAAGTGATGCATCGGGACACAATGCTGTCTATTATACTATTGAGGCTGGGTATATAGTATCTATCCCTTAAAACTTCAGTAAGCTTCGTATGGCCTAGGTGGGTGGACTGGTGTAACTGATTAACTATTGTCTGTCCTAGAGCCTCAGGAACCAAAAGTCGGCTGTCCGGTAAAGTCTACTATCCTTCCAGGCTCCTGAGGCCTGCCTCTGTATGGCTAGTTTCTCCTCCTTCTCCGTATAGGCTGGTGAGGTGGGTAGGTCAGGGTTTGGAAGAGTCACTAGAATCTGTAAAGTTCCCACTGGTTTTAGGGCAGCCTCCCGGTCCGCTTCGTCCACAGCCCGGTCCCCCCTTGCTTCTATGGGGTCCCCTTTCCGGTGCCCCTTACAGTGAACTAATGCTACCACCTTGGGTAGCCAGATGGCTTCTAGTAGAGCTAAAATCTCTTCCTTATATTTTATGTCCTTCCCGGCTGAAGTTAAAAGTCC